CATATGCTGTCTCTCTAGCCAGATTAAACATACTAAAGTGAAAGGCATTTTTCTGTTGTTTTGGCATCCGTGCTGAATCCTGTGGGGGCTCAGGAAGAATTATTACTTTTGGAGCAGTAGTAGTGTGGCGGATGGAGAGAAGAAAGCAACAGAGGAGACAGGTTTTCTGAATGAAAGGCACTTTCACACGTATCCTATATTTCTTCAGGCCATATCAGCCTTGGGAAGCTCCCAGGGCAACCAGACCAAGAGATTTTAACAAAGAGGGTCTGTCTCATATGGCTCCTCCTGAAGAGTCATGGCGAATGCCAGCCCCTTTCAGGCCTCCTGGAACAGCTGAGAAAATCCTCCCAAGCTGTACTTCTCCATATGGGCTCCAGTATTCCTCCTTCTGCTCTGACTTAGGGCCGTGGCCCTCCCCTTTTCCTACAGGACTTGCTCGGTGTCAGATTGCACTGATACTCAGTGCCAGGTGGTCATGGTCCTTCTCTTTTTACTCATGTTTCTCTGGGTAAGGGAATCCCAGCTGGCTGATCTGAATGGCATTTCCAGTCTGTAAATGCTGCAGCAGGTGCAACTGCCTTCAGGCTGATCTGAGGAATTTACCCCTCCCTTCATTTGGCTTATCTTCTGTTACAGGCCACAGAGCAGTGCTGCCTGGTCTGTGTCTGACAACACTTGTGATCAGCCTCTTATCGGACACTTCCTCCTGGGATCTGGCACTGGTCTCTGGACGCAACTAGGGCCAGCTGGAAATCTGAGCAACATAAACTTTGTTAACCTTCTAATTGCCCCTCCCCTCTGATAATGACCCATTGTCCTTGGGCCAAGTTTGCACACCTCCACCTTCTTTGAATGAATTCCTTCCCATAAGGTTTCATAGTTCCTTTAGCAAGTAACTGCCTGGCAGGCAGGGCCACACGGCTAGTCCTTCAACATGGTTGTTGAATAGCAGGTTCTAAAGTGGCTGCCTAGATCTGAGGTCTCGCCCTAGGACCTGATACACTCAGCTCCTTTTGGTCATTTCCAACAGTGAATTCTAATGAACACTGTGTGCACTCGCTGCTGCTCAAATGAACAGTCATTCCCTGCTCCTCATGTCCACAACAGAGACAGAGTTGATTTGGAATTTTTCGGGTTACAGCATTGGAACCTGTTTGGAAAGCTATTTCATTCCTCAGCTTTTATTTTTAAAAAGAGTCCATAAATATTTGTTACCAATGCTTGCTATTAAAGATGTTGGACTTGCTTTAGTATTTTAGCACAAATTCACATGAAACTAGTTATTAGTAAGAGTATCTCATTTATGAAAAAGTTGCTGAAGTATTGGAAACTTGGCAGTTAGCCAGGATAGAGTACTATATTTTTTTCTCCTTTTTCTCTTTCTTTTAGGATAAAAGTTCATAGTACTGATTCCTAAACTCTGAAGATTTCCCAGAGGTCTACCTAGGGGAGTTGGTGGTATTATCGTTGAGGCCAAAATGAAAATCTGAGAACACATAAATATTTTTGAGAATATTTTGAAAGTCCTCATGTTAGAAACCCTTCTAGGCAAAGACTAAATTTCAATTGCTTGTTCTATAACTTTTATATCCTTCCCCATCAGCAATAACAATAAGAAAAGTAAGAAAAAGGAAAACAAAAATGAAAGAAAGAAAAGAAAGAAAAGAAAGAAAGAAAGAAGGAAGAAAAGAAGAAAGAAAGATTTAGAATTGTGAAACCTTGTTTGTCTTTTAAGTTGGGGCATTTTAAGAAGTCTGCTTCAATGTATAAAATATTTAAATTAAATAAATGTAATCTTGAATGTATAATCTAAGTTGTTAAATGTAGCTAATCTTGGTTAAACTTCTAATGTGTGGTTTTAGACAAAGACAATTTAATCTTCTTATTTCTTATCCTCAAAAAGATTATGCACATGTAATCAGAAAAATCCTGGTTAATAACTAACCAAGGGTGTTCAAGATTCATGATACTCTGAACTTTCCCTAAACTCTTTCATGGACTCCAACAGCTCTAATTTGGATCTTGTCTCTTAATTTTGGATATTGAGTAAGTATATAAAAATAAATTGTGATATTTCGCCTACTTTTTAAAAACTTATTTGATTTATTTTTATTGAACTAAATAAAATAGATTAAGAGACAAAAATTTAGGTAACTATGATGTTACAATAGCTTAGTAAAAACTGCCTTATTTAACAATGAAAAGGGCAATTGCAACATGGTCTTAAACGTGGTTAGCTTTAGTAAGGCAGTGGAAAACAGGTAACTAGAAGTCAGAGTGTTACTTAGATACAGACAGAGGAAGGTGGAGGCGTGACAGCAGCTGATAAACATAAGCACCCAGGTTGCTAGGTAGACAATGTCACTTTGTTAAATAATTATTTTAAATAATGTATGCAAATTTAACCATGCTTGCATGGGAGGAAAATATATATTAAAATAGCACTTGCCACCCTTCCCCCTCTGTGATCATCCTCCCCAGAATGAGACAAGAAACATGAGTCTGCTGTGACCTAACCCTCTCTGTTCCCTTGTGTCTTGCCATATTTAAACATATGATGTGACCCCTACAATACAAATAAATCCTTTATCTGCTGCTCAATCAAAGAAACAGAAATCTGTTTTGATGCCAAAAACAAAATAAACAAACAAAAAAACTGGCAGGGTTAAGCTTCAGAAGTACTGATCAGTTTTAATGTTCAGGTTCGAAATGGACACCTTCCACAGGAATTTTCAAGGGTTATTTTGAATCTCTCTTTTTTTGCCTGGAGCTGATTTTAGAACACTACCTCCGAGTAATTTGCTACCCCTATGTACAATCATCTCTTTAACATTTACCTCTATTCTTGTTCTCTTTATCCCTAAGGAAAAAAATCATCCAGAATTTCTCCATCCCATACATGTTTTAAAATATTAGACTAAGTAGAAGGGAGGGAGATAATAGAAAATGGTTTGTCTCCAGAACTCTCCGCTGGGCCTTGGGTCTCCTATCCTGCAGGAATCGGGATCCTGACATATGTGTGTTCTGTGTGCTGCATGTCCCGCTCAAATATCCTCTGGTTGAAACCTAATTCCAGCTTCTTCAATCTGAAGCTCCGTTGTTTCCTTCACAGAGAAGCCTGCCCTGACAATGCTACTTAAAATGGAAATGTCACATGCCAATATTCCCAATGCATCTTACCTGACCTCCCCACCCCCCATGACATAAGCATCTGGTCACTTTTTTAATTTGACTATTTTATTCTGACATACCTGAATTTTTTTTTTTTTTTTTGGTACTAGGGATTGAACTCAGGATCTTGTGTTTGCCAGGCAGGAGAGGCACCACTGAGCTACATCCCCAGCCCCTGAATTTTTAATGATATTTACTGTTTCTTTCCTGTTTCCCCTACCAGAAAGCAAAGTCCACAAGGAGAGGGTTTTTTCTTCAGCCTGTTGGGAGGTGCATCTCAATCACCAATGTCAGGCCCACATCAAATTAATATGTATTTGCTGAATGACTATCTGAGGCCTCTGTGTCTATATTCCCTGAGCAGAAATCATTTTAGGAGTTGTGCAAAATTTTCTGTTTATCATCATTAAAAATGGGCCATAGGTAATTAGTAAAACTCACTGAAGTTGCTGATCAGTTACATGAAGAGAGGTACAACATGCAAAACAATTGATCATTTGACAATAGATCAAAACTATTACTGAAATAGATTTGGAGCAGAAATTTGTACAACAGAAATGTCTAAATCTAGCCAGTGGCCCATTTATTTTAAATTAGGTTTTTATCCACAAAATCCTATTACACCAAAGTGATTTAAACAGATTCTTTGTCTGCTCTTTAATGTGACTTAATCTGAGTATTAAGAAGATTTCAATTAAGTAGTCTGAGGAGGAATCTATGTTTTCTAGACCACAAGCATCATTTAAAACAAATGATACATTTCTACAACTCTTCTATTATCAATACTGTCTCTCTATTTGGAAAATTTTCTTAGTACTGGGAGAGGTAAAGTTTAAATTTTAAAATTTTAGCCAGGCATAGTACACACCTATAATCCCAGCATTCAGGAAGCTGAGGCAGAGGGAATCATAATGAATTTGAGGCCTGCCTAGACTACATAGTGAGTTTAAGGCCAGCCTGAACTACACAGTGAGATGCTTATCTCAAGAAGTAAAACAAAAAAAAAATTTATCTGAAAAAAAAAATTTTTATCTGAACATGCTCCCAAAGAGGAAAATAATACTCATTTTAAAAAAGACTTTAAAGAGTATGACCTCAATATACATCCATTTACTCTTAAGTGAAATAAATAAGATATATATGTGTAAATACCAAACAGTTGCTCTCCTGTGAAAAACTAAAAGTGTGAATAAGATCCAAATTGTATAACTGAGAATGTGAAATAGGAAGAAAAGGGCTAAAGGTGCAGGGGAAGTAGGAAGGGTAGGGGAAAGGAAATAAGGGACCAGAAAAAAACAAAGTCTTTGTAAATAGGGGAGGGTGGAAGGGGTGAAGGGAGGGCAGGAGCAAGGGGAAAAATGAGAACCAAGATCTGTCATGTAAAGGTACAAGATCCCAATGATGAATGTAACTGTACTGTATACTTAAAAAGTACCAATAAATTCAATAAAAAAGCAAAAAAGAAAATTTAAAACTTATTTTTTTTAAAAAAATCTACATTTTTTAAAAACACATTTACCATTACCAGCTCACTTCAGGTGTAACAACTGTGATGCATCTCATGGAGATGAACATTAGCAAATTAATGAAGTGCCACTTCAGCACAGTGGGTCACATTTTTCTCCTTTTACTAAAATTATAGTTTTTCTAGAGTCTTATTTTTTTCTTATTCAGCCACTGTAATTTGTAATAGCTGATTTGAACCAGAAAAGTGCAGAAATTATATTTTCTGAAGCTCAAAATAGGCAGCATGCCGCAACAGTTTTGGGAATCAGACATACATTGACTAGAATCCTGGACCCAAACCTGCCCAGTTGATCCTGACCATAGGCATTAAATCTTCTTGAGATTCAGTCTCTTCATCCATAAAACAAGCCTATTAACACCTACTTTACAGTATCACTAGGGATAAACTCACAGTACTTGGCTTGGAGAGGCAATAAATCTATTTGTCACTACATATCTATATAAATTAAAGCATATTGTACAAATCATAGCTAATTATGTAGTCATAACTAATTATAGTCATAACTAGTTATTAAAGGATCATTCTTTTTTTAATTTGGTCATTTATTTGGAAGCTTTATAAAATATAAATACTAATCTCTTTTAATGTTTAATCCATCACTTTCACTGAAAAGGTATTGAGTCATTGTTATCCTCAAAAACCTCAGGGATTTTTATACAATTCCTGATTATTGCCTGAGATACTGTAAGTAATCTTGACGTTTCAGGAAGCTCAAGGATCATTACCAGTCTTTGTTTAAGCAAAAGGACACACATGCCATTTCCTATATGCTATGGGTTAAAATGTGTACCTCAGAAAGATGCTGAATTCCCAACTCTGACTACTTGTAACTGTAACCTTGTTTAGACATAGGGTCTTTTTAACAGGTGATCAACTGAAGATGAGGTCACTAGCACCGGCCCTAATCTAATCTGACTGTTCTTCTAAAAGGGGAAAATTTGGACAAAGACATACACAGGAAGAATGCCATGTAATGGTGAAGGCAGAGGTAAGTGTTATGTATCCACCCACAAGAAATACCAAAGTTTGCCAGAAAATGACCAAAATCTAAGTGAGAAGCATGAAACCTATTTTCTCTTGCAGCAGGAAATATCACTGCAGGTAGTTTGATCTCAAATTGTCAGCCTCCAGGACCACAACACTAAATTTCTGTCGTCTAAACCACAAGGTTTGTACTTGTTACACAGCCCTACCACACGAGTATGCTCACTCACCACAATGCAGCACTGAGGGAGGAGGGAGACAGCTTAACTCCTAGCATCGTTACTTCATCAACTGCTCAACTTCTAGGTCTGGGAAGGCCCCCAGAGTCCATGAAGCATATTTCATTTGACAGTGTAAACTTACCTTGTTGCCTGGCCACAGAATGTAGAGAGGGAGAGGCAGAGAGAGGAAGAGGGACAGGGGAGAGAAAAAATAAATGGAGAAGGGTACAGGGTCGGGAGAAGAGGAAGTTGAAAACCAGCAGGCTTGCTGGAAAGCTGCAGAGAAGAGGGTGGCCACATAGAGCTCTGAAAGTCCTTTTCATGCCTCAGCTCAGTCCCAGAAATCTGGCCATCAGGGAGCAGATTTTTTCTCTTTGGCAAAAGGAAGAAAGCTTAAGCATTCATCCTTCCCACTGGCTGTGTAATCTGAGCTGCCTGGGTGGCAGCTGAGTAATTGCTACAGTTAGACCCTCTGGCTAGCCTTAGCCTGCAAAGCACCAGGGGTGCTAGAAGCAGATTCATCATCTCCTTCTTCTCCAACCCGGAGCAGACCCCATTCAGGCTGTCTGTGGCTAATGAGGCCAGCAGAGCCATCAGCTGGTGCTGCTTATCCTTGAATCAACCCAAGTAGCACCAGAAAACATCCATCTGCCCACACAGACGCAAATGTGGGCTTACTAAGCAATGCAGTTACTAGTAATCATCATTTATTGACTAACGTATACCAAGCTCTGTGCTAAGACTTTTATATGCATTATTTAACAAACATTCATTGAACTGTAAGAGCCTACTGTGTGTAATTCACTGAACTTGATCCTGAGGATAAAATAAAAAAGATATAATCCCTGGCTATGGTGGACAATTTTTTGTTAACCAGACAGCCACTCCACTTTTCTTCCTCTGTTTATACGTACAAAATCTCACTCTCCTCAGGAATTGTAGGCAACACATGAATACATAGCAGGTATGGTTATCCTGATTCCTTTTTCCTCTCTTTCAGACTTGATAAAGATGTGATGACTGGAGCTGCATTGGCTATTTTAAAGCCAGTACGTAAAGACTGAGCTAAAGAGACACTCGGACTTAGTTGAGCTTTTGAGACGTTACTAGCAAACACCACCTCTGAATTTCTCATTTGGGTGAGGAAAGTGAGTCAGTATTTGTGTATGTCATGGTGTGTCCAGTTTTGTTATTTGTAGCTGAACACGATTCAAAGCAGATACACCTTCCCCGATGAAGATTATGTCTATCCAGGGAGACAGACATAAGCAATTTATTTCACAGTAGTTATTTAGTTAGGATTTTGACAAGTGCTGTGAAGAATCACAGGACTCTAGCAGCAAGTATAACAGGTATATATAATTCCAAAGTTTGTTCTGTCTAGAAACAGAAGGAGGGGTGGTCATCCACATTCTCCCACTTACTTTGTTGTATAACTTTGGGCAAGTTCCTTAACCTTTGAAGCCTCAGTCACCTCTAAAATGTGATAAATAAGTAGTACAATATTATCTATCATAGATTTGTCATGAGGATTAAATGATAAAATGCATGTGCAATTGTTTGCAGTCTTCTGGTGCATATTAAACAGCCAGTAATAAGTCACCTAGTCTCAAAGGAGTTAGGAATTGTGATCTCAGGGTAGGATGAGATATACCCAGCAGAAAAGGAGCATGGATTTTTTTATGGGTATTTTTTTTCTTTTTATTGAGTTTATTGGTACAATCTAAGTATACAATACAGTTACATTCATTATTGGAATCCTGTACCTTTACATGACAGGTCTTGATTCTCATTTTTTCCCCTTGTCCCTGCCCTCCCTTTACCCCCTCCTCCCCTCCCCATTTACAAACACTTTATTTCCATTTTTTCAATTTCTCATATTTTTTTCCTCTCCCTGCATGGATTTAGTCAAGAATTAGTAGCTTCTACCACAAAGATTATGAAATAATACTGATCACTATGATGTACTGCCAAGTTACTCTCCAACTTTGCTTTCCTGCTGAGCACTTTGATTTGATTATTTCAATGAAGGCCAAATTTAATTGCAGAGGAGACACCTCACAATTTTGCAATGCTGAGTCACTCATTCATGAGGCAATTTGACCTCTACTTGGAATAGAGGTAACATTAAGGACAGTAATGCTCACTGCTAATTATTGCAATTCATAGCCAAATTCACTTTCCTTTGTGTTTTGCAAACAGACACAAATATGTTCCAATCCACAGATTTTAGCTACTCCCCCATTTTTTACCTGTGACATATGCTGGGCAGTGCTTTTCTTGTGGCAAGAAAAGTCATGAGAACAGCTTCAGATTTTCTCTGAGGATTAGGTTGATCACAATGCCCATTTGCTGAATGCCCCACAGATTTCAAGAGGATGGTTGTTATGCAGGAATGTGGATACTGTAAACTTATTGTATTCATGGAATAGTCACTTAGTAAAAGTTTACTGATTTTAATGATAGCATATGTGCTGCTGAAGCAAGCACTGATTTTAATGATAGAAATAGATGGAAGATCATTCATTTTAAGAGAAGGGGCACTTTTTTCACAGATTAAAAGAAATTCCTACCACAGAATCTTATTGCTGGCTTCCTCTCCTTAGAAGCTATAGCTCAACTTCAAAGATATTTTTCAAAACATCACATATTTTGCTAACTGCATATAACTCCATGTGTCATTTTCTCAGAAAACCTGTTTCTACCCTGCTGATTTGTTTGAGCTCTGAACTGGCGATGCCACCAGGCCTTGGTGGAGAGTCTGTGTCCCTGTAGGTTTCAATATTGAGTAACGAAAGTTCCTGGATTCTGATAACGTCTTTTATAAAGGAATTCAAAGCATCTCCTTGAACTATAAGCCCCTTTTGTTCCACCGTCCCACAGCAAGCAAGAATGTTTAGTTATTTTTTCTCTCCTAAGAATATTCTCAAATAGCAAATCAGTTTAATTTCAAGTTAACTCACCCCAGTTAATGCTCCAATTCTCCACTCAGTAGGTTTGATCCATGCAGAGGCAGAAGGCTGGTTTTCCTAACTCCCTACCAGGACAGTCTGACACCAGAAGGGGGACTGTGAACTTATGAAATGACTCAAGAGTGGCTAATCTACTGGCCAGAAAGTCTGAGAGAGGTGGAAGGTCATGCAGCATTTTGCAATTCCACAGGTAAGGAATAGAGCTGGGCTTCATTAAAGTAAGCAATCATTCAGCCAGAAGCACCGCTGCCAACTGAGTTAGGTCCCTCCTGGCCAGACAAATACAAAGAAAAAAAATAACTTAAAAATCCATGGCAGGTACCTACCAGGATTTAGGAGTATTTTTTCCCACTTTTGTTTGAGATTTCGTTCAGACCCAGAATGAGCTACTGACCTAATAATAGTCTACTTGAAAACTAAACAAAGTATAGTCTTGAGTTTTCATGGACATTGCTATTCACAAATTGTTCACATCTTTTATCTCAAATATTCTCATAGAAGCTCATGGAAATTATAATGACAGGAGCTCTATTACTGAATGTTTACTGTGTGCCATATTCATATACCAACTCACTGACTCCTTACAACAATCCTAAGCAGTAAGTTCTATTATTAGCACTGCTTTCCAGATGAGGCATAGAAGGGTTGACATTCTCAAGTTTACACAGTGGTAAGGATAAACCAGTTCCAGAATTGAGACTATCTGGTTGCAGTGCCCTGGCATTAAACCAAGAGACCACAATGGACCAGAGGTACTGGAACGAAGACCAATTTATCCTGCTTCTTTCTTGTTTCAGCATCTCTTTGTTTTGAGGTACTCTTAGGCTTTGTCCTCCAGGTGGATTTTTCTGCCCAGGTCCACTCTGCCTATGGTTTCCCCACTGTGGCCACTCAGAAATCAACCTTTCTTCAAGGTCAAGCTTAGAATTTAGAACCTTTAATTTCCTGCACTTGACATTTTACCATTTCATAGTCCAGAAGCCTCCTGCAGCTTTTAAAAGAGTAATTTTAGATATCCACTCCCCATAGCTCCAAGAACAATTTATTTCAATCTTGGGACACTGCCTGGAATTCAGGAAAACTAGCGTGATCCTTCCAGTCTGGCTTTTCATTCCATCCATTACATAAAGCTCTGTGGACAGGCATCAACTACTAGGTAAACGGTGGGAAAACCATTAGTGTTCCAGATGCTATTTTTTTACCTGGTACTCGGTCTTGAGAAAACAAAAGACCCAGATAACTGATGTGTTTCTCTATTCATATGAATGTTTTATGCTCACGTAAACAGTGGAGAAATGTGTTCCATTATCACCATTTAAATAATGGTCAAGTAAATCCATCTAGCCTAATCACAATAAAAGTTGCTCGGTAAATCTAAAACAAGCTCAGGAAAAAAATTTACATCAGACAATGGTTTTACAAGATTAATGTTAGAGAAGGTTCTATAATGGCCTTTTGGTAACCAAAAAGTATTCATAAATTGGTGATGACAAATAGTAGAAACATCATCAGCAACTTAGCTTGGAATGAACAAAATTACATCATTATTTTAAAGACTCATTCCTGATAGGCTGATTATCTAAGCCTGTCTTGAAAAATGTTAAGGAGACCACTGAGCTGCACATTTATTCTCTTTAGTTATTTAAATTCTGTTTGTTTATCAGTGGCGATTTTTTAAAATGTAGAGTTGTCAACAGCTAGCCTAGTAAGATGCGTACAATTAAATTTAATAATGGAGGACTAATTTAGTAAACATGAGTGAAGTGATCCTTTTAAAAAAAACAAAATCCCATGATTCAAAGTGAACAAGAAGTCTAAAGACTATTTGAGTAAAAAATAAAATGATTTTTTCAAAGTTATAAAGTGAAATACATTATTTGCAAATTTAACTTTTCTTAGAAATTGCATAAAATTGTCACCAAATCCTTAGCCATCTATAATATATAGAATGGGATGTAAAGAAGAAAGCAGCTCACACTTTGTGTGCAATGTCTTTATGTTCAAGTTTAAGATAAAAAGCTCAAAGACTTTTATAATAAATTTAAAAAGTTTAATCTGTTGTATTCCCCGATTGTCTGTCTATCTTCACATACTAAAGTCCACATAGAGCAAAGCCTTCCCTCAGCCTCAGCTACTCATGAAGTTACTGTGTGAGGAAAGTAAACTTTTGACACAATATCTTGTTCTTTAATTCTCTGTATTTGGGATCTCTGAAAAAACATGATGAGCTTTTCCTGATAATAATGTGCCAAATAACTGCTTTAGAATGATATCCTTACCCCAGCCCAGAGGAATCAAACTTTTTTGATATGCATCAGTAAGGCTACTTGGTTTTTGAAAGTTTGGTGCCCAATGCATTGATTGTATTAAAAGTAATTGAATAACAGAAACAAACAAAATTTTTGGACAATACAGCACCAACAAGAAACTCCAATCCAACGCCCTTAAACCTGCTGTGATGGAAAGGAATTACTATAAGGAAGTTACTGGGCAAGGTTTTGTATTTTGACTCAGAATTTTCATAAAACAGCTATTTCCAAATCAAGTTTGGACAAGTTCAGTACCTGACTTTCTTGGTGTGTGACATGCTATTAAAACCCTCTAAGATTCTGCTATTCTGCAGTCTCTGTGGCTTCCATTTATCCTATCACCTCGAATGGCCAAAACAGTTTTTTAAAAAGGAGGAGGAATATCCAGTGATTTCTTTTAAATTTTATTTTCATAACAATAATTAAAGATAGCTAATACTTTTGTGGATGATAAAATAAACATTCCAGAAGAATGGGAGACTTGCCAAGAACTAGAAAACTGGAAAGAAATAAAACCAGGATTTAATCCAGGTGAGTTTGCCTCCAGAGCTCGAGGCTTTCCGTGGACTCTTTCCTCTGCTTTCTTTTGTGTGATTTTGGCTCTACTCCCCTGTTGCCTAAGCAAAGGATTAATGTTTAAGGCAGGGTTGGGAGGGATGCCAAGGTGAGAACACCAGCACACACACTTAGAACAGAGGTGTTTTTTTAACTCTGAATGCCCAGTCAGTTCAGTGAGCTGGAAGACACTGCAATAGAAAAACAGAAGGTCCTTGAACTCATACCAGTGTTCAAGTTCCATCTCCATCGTTATGGAACAGTTATTGCTTAGATCAGCATGAGTACATGTGACATGAGACTAACCACATGATCCAGGGCCACAGTCTTTCCAATAAATCTATATCACACCTCTCTCCACAGCTTATGTTCCTGATCCTACTCCAATTTATCTCAAACCCAAGCCCTCTTCTGCATATTTAATAGGTTATCAAAGGGCCCTGATTCCTCATTCCTGGAGACATCTCTATGGTAACAGCATATCCCCAACCTACTTAACTTTTGGACAGGATTAAATTAGGACTTGCCATGCCTTGAACTCAAGTTTGGACTGCAGATTCCACCCTAGGATTTTACTAGCTCTCTTCCCATTTCCTCTTTCCCTTCTCCTTCAGCAGTAGCCTGCTCACTCCTACTATTCCTGGCAGGGAACTACCAGCAGATGACATCACTGTGGTACCCTTGCCTGGGACTCCTGCTGGGCACCACTGAGCTCACATTGGATGGCCACAAATTGCCTGCAGCCTTGGTCAAAGCATTCTTTTCTAGAATGAGGACAAAGTGGGGATTATTCAAAACTAACAGATGAATCTGACATTGTCCTAGAAAAACACTTTATTCCCACACACCAGTCACTTGGTGTCTACATTTTAACACACCATACCATATTTTTGAAACTTCTGGTGGGCAGAGCAGGGAGATAAGGTGGATTGATAGCATCACTCCAATCTTATATAAATGGATTAGTTTTTTTTTTTGTTTGTTTGTTTGTTTTTTTTTGTTTGTTTGTTTTTTGTTTTTTTTTGGTACTGGGGATCAAACTCAGGTCCTTGCGCTTGCAAGGCAGGCGGCAGAAACACTGAGCTAAATCCCCGGTCCCAGATTATGTTTGATAGGATATAATTTCTAGAATCATCTCCTTTTGACATTACAGTTCCTAATACCTCTGCAAAAATACTATTAAAATTTAAATTTAAAAACATTTTATTATGAAAAATTTAAGTATACACAAAAGTGTACACAATAATACAATGAACTACCATGTAGCCATTCTGACTTCAATAATGGTTAACTCAAACTAATGTTCTTTCATTATACTCTGTCCCTATCATTCATGTTCTGGATTATTTTTTTGTAAGAGTTAGAGTATATGTCACTTTATCCATGAGTGTTTTATAATGTTTTTAGGTGTAAGAACTATTTCTTTAAAAAAACAGTATTATTATTATGATCCTAAAAATTAGCAACAATTTAATGTTATCAAATAGTCTTTAGATTTCATTTTTCAGGACAATATTTGTTTAAAACTGATGTGTTCAAATTATGAAATAAAAGATATATATCATACATTAATATGTTTGTAAAGCCCCTTTTAATATATTTGAATTGTTTCCTTTTTTTTGTTTTTCTCATAATTTGTTAAGTAAGTCAGATAATTTGCCCTGTAGAATTTCCTACATGTTGGGATTTTCTTTTCTTTTTTATTACAATACTAAAGATTGAACCCAGGGACTCCATCAGAGCTCCATCTCCATCCCTTTTTTAAAAAATTTGAGACCAGGGCTCACTAAGATGCCAAGTTTACTGGGCTGCCCTCATACTTACCACCATCCTGCTTCAAATTCCCAGAGTGCTGGGATATCCTAGTTCTTCTACATGCATTCTGTGATATCTTCTGTCTCCTGTACTTGCTCCAAAATTGGTAGTTAAATCTGAAGGTCTTGATAAGAATCCTATTCCATTTTGATAAGAGTATTTCATAGTATATATTTTCTTTTGCATTACATAAGGAAGTATAGAGTATGTGGTTGCTTCCTTTTGCAGAGTTTAACTTTGTTTTTGTTTTTTTAGACTGGGTCTCACTTTGTAGTTTTCACTGGATTTGAACTCACTACTAACCTGGGTTAGCCTCAAACTTGTGGCATTCTTCCTGCCTCAGCCTCCTGAATGCTGGGATTTCAGGTGTAAACCACGCCTGGCTTTGTAGTGTTTAATTTGATTAGTACAT